CAAATTTATCTAAAAGAAAATCTAATAATATTAACTAATATCTAATGAACTAATTAATAACAATATTTAACGGTTTAAATTTAAAAAAAAAATAAAATATACATTAAATATATAAAAAATAATAATACTACTTAAATTTTACTTACCATTGCTTGATCCACTAGATTGCAACAAGAAAATGTGTTAAACTGCTTCAAAGGGAAGAATGGAGGAAAGGGGAGCAAGAGCAACTCGGGACAAGAGGAAAATGAAAATGAAAGGAGAAAGACCAAAATGAAAGCAGAAGGGCGGGTTGGCAAGGCAATAGGGAAGCTTATCGACGAAACCCACATTGCTACAGTCTAAAGCTGCTCATCTCTGCGTTGCATCAGGATTCCCGTTGACTGGACAATCACCGACGAGCATCAAGTTGGCAATGGACATATTACTAACCTATATCTTATCGGTAAACAAAGTAAAAGCTGCAACACCAGTGGCCACTAGCCGGATTTGCAGGGAGTTGCTGAAGGGCAAATTACCGACGAGCACTATGTCGAAAATTTCATCAAAAAGCTGCACCCCTGACGCAGGCAGCCAGCTGGTTGGCGGGGGGTGCATTGGGAGTGGAAATTACCGAGACTATGGACGTTGGAAATTGATCCTCAATTACCGACGAGATTGTCGTTCCAAAATTAAATTTACAGGCGTACTTCTCGTCGGTGATGTGCCTTTCCGTCCTTCCCCCACCGGCCGGAGTGTTGGTTGCAATTACCGACAAGTAACACGTATGTATTTTAGTAAATTACCGACGAGTGTTACGTTTGTACAATAAATAATATATCTTACTGCCATTTTTACTGTTTCTCAAGTTGCAGACTTAATTCTTGTCAGTAAATGGATGCTTCACCGAGAAAACTTCTTACCTCGGTGATATGTGGTCGATGAAGCTAGGTTTTCTTGTAGTGGATATATGAGTTAGGCCTAAATTAAAATTCATAACAATAACATAAGTGTAGCCTAATGTTGAAAAGAACTAGAGAATTGAAAGTGCTTCATGAAAGATATGGAGATAGATATGATCTTAATGTAAGAAACTGAGAAAAATATAATATTTGAATAGATAAGAATAAGAGACAAAAGAGGAGATGACAAAGGGGAAAAAGAATAATATCAAATAATTTATTAATATAGAGAGAGAAATAATAGATAGAGATGATTGGCAAATTTTCATATTTATTAATATAATAACAAATTATGAAAAGAGAAATGATTAGTACATACTCAATTCAACACACTTTCTAACAATCGTTTAGTTTAGTTATTAAAATATAATAAACATATAGTTTAGTTCAATTGATTTTTACATTCTGTATGTACAACTATATCTTTAAGTTTTTTTGTCTTTAATTTTAGATTATAAAACAATAACTTTTAATGAGTGTATTATACAATCTGTTGAATCAAAGTATCTACTAATCAGTGTCCTTATAAAAATTTGTCATTATTTTTTAAAATGAAATTAATTAAATTTATACACTTAAATCTTTTTTTCATATCTACCATTCATACTTTTTTTAATGAATTAATATATTTAAAAGTGAATAGTAAGATCAGTTGGTATTATAAAAAATTAGATAAAAAATACCTTAAAACTACACTATTTTAATTAAATATTACACAAAAATACTAAATAACACCATTATGGATTTAAAAGTTATTATATTTTAATATTTTTAATCAAACTTTATTAAAATAATGTAATTTTAAAATATTTATCACTAAATTTTTTATAATACAAGTAGATATCTACTTTCTTATATTTAAAATTATTAATTATCAAAAATATTCTTAAATATATTTATAATTAATTATTATTATAAAAAATTTATAACTAACAAATTTTTTATAAAAAAATACCGACAAACCACGGTACGCAGTAGTTAAGAGTTTCTTTAACACAAAATTGAAAGAAAATACAATGAATGTGTCATGTGCCACGTCGATCTTAGCATTTTCCGGTATTGGAAAGAATACGGTGGACAGAGGAAAATAATTTATTCATTCAATTGCATCACCTAACAAATTTTTTTTTTTCTTTGGATTATAGAACCTAAACTAACAAAGCTTTTTTAGCCCTTCAATATATTTGACCGTCCACAGTTCAATATTCTTCCCTGTCACTTATGATGACTAGACCTTGCTCGTCGCTACCTATCTTTACAGGCTTTGAAGGCTCTCCACTTGATAACGGAAAGATAAGAGTTTCAAGTGGGAGCAATTTTTTATAATACATGGCATTCTGTTTTTTGGCTTGAATAATCTTATTGAATTTATCAATCGACCTTATTCAAATTTACAGGATAAATCTCCATCTTTAATTAAGGATGATAGCAATAGCATACTAAAATTATCTACACCCACTAAGTAATAATAATTTAAATTTAATAAAAAAATTTTAACTGATTAAGAATTTAAAATTTTAATTGAAATTATTTACACTCATTAAATAGTAGTAATTTAAGTTTAAGAAGGTGTCTCAAATAATTAAGAGTTTGAACTTTCAAGTAAAAAATTTCAAATTTAAATTTTGAGATGAGTAGAAAATGATTAGGAAAACTAAAAGATTCTTAGTTATTTTGCATAATTCATCATCGAATATACTAAATAATAATAATTTAAACTTATATTTACAATATAGTTGTTATCACCCTTAATTATCACTTGAACTAATCCCAACAAGTTAAGTCCGAGTAATTTTTTGTCAATGGTTGAAGCCTCAAAGGTGATGGAAGAACCATATGCAAAAACCTCCAATTTATAGACTAGACAAAATGAGAATAAATAAATAGCTCTACGACAAAACAAGATATAAATACTGACTCATTTCTAAAAAAGATCAAATTATAATATGATTGATCTTAATATAAAAGGAAAAAAGAATATATGATTCGATTATAGAAGAAAGGAATATTATGTCATTATGAAGATTGATCAAATCATGAGAAATGAATTTATTAATTGATTGATTTCAAAGATTTGATATTGATTATAATCTCATTAATTAATAAAAATATTTTTAATTAATTGTTATTTCTTTATATTATGTATTTCTAACCATATTAGAAACTTCTTCAATCTCACAGCCCCCCACCATCATATTTACTCTCTTATCATGGATAGTACTATAAATAAAGCAGTCTTCTTAGGCTAATTCCCACATCATTAAATCATCTATCTCTCCAGCTACTAGCTCTAGTTATGTTCCTTAGAAACCTTGCATGAAAACCTATTGCTTTTGAGGATCATGGCTAAGCAATCTACTGCAAGAATGGTTTTCTTTGCTGTGTTGATGGGTCTTGCATTAAGTGTTCTAGCACGACCAACTTTGCAGAAGAAGGTTGAGAGTCGCCTTCTTTTACAAGAACTAGGCTACAATGAAAAAAAGCTGGTGCATTATCGGTATGTTTTCGCATCAACTATAGATAAAGACAGGCTTTCACCCGGTGGACCTGATCCTGAACACAACTCTGGCCCCCCGAAGATGTCTTAAGCATATATATTGTTCTTTGTTGTCTTAATATGTAGCTTAAGATCAACACATATTGCACTATGTGTACGAATAAAAAAATGCAATATGCATTTGGCAAAATAATCAAATATCTATTTTCTCATGATTATTCTCTCTCTCTTTTCCTACGAGATTACATGATATGTTTAAAAAATTAATGTTACTAATTTTTGGTTGTGGAATCAACTTGGAGGCCTGGGTTACAATATTTGGTTCACAACATCTAGTCCATTTGGCTATGGAGAAGCCAACTCATGTTTAAAGCCAAGAAAGAAGATGGGAAAAGGGTGGTGGAATTAGTGAAGGTAAGATCTTTTTACTAGCTCAAGGCATCAAAATGGCCTAATTTATGTTTAGAGCCTGTGACATAAATTACTTAAAGAACCACTGGAGATATATGTTATCTCTTAATTGATCACACCTAATTGAACTTTGCTTGAAAAAGAGAACTACTGCATTTTTAAATTTGTTTATCCTTAATTTTATATTAAAAAATAATAATATTTTAATAAATATGTTATTCAATGTATTGAATTAGAATGTACACCAATCACTATTCTTGTATTTAACATAAGATGAAGGATATAATTTAGTGACAAAATTTTTTCTCTTGCACCAATCACTATTTTTTCCTATACTCCCTTTTATAGAAGTTATTTTGTTGGCTTATAAAAAACAAAAGTTGATTCATTTTTCATCTATAAATAGTTTACCATTTCTACATAAGACTTGTCACACAGAAGTGACATATGAATTTTGTGCTAAATAAAGTTAAATAAAAAACAAAGATAAGAAAAGAAAAGAAAAAGGAAAAATGTAGATAAAAGTTCAAAACTAATGCACATAGGAAACTATTACAAAAGTTGAATTATTAATCCTATTGAATTTGTTATTAAATGAATGTATTCCACTAACTTCATCCTCTAAACTTGTGAAATGCCCCTTCCCAAATAGAAACAACAAGTTAATTAATGTGGTCCAAAGTTTGAGAGAAGAATTTGATAAACTTTATTTACTCCAATGGAAAGATCATGATTATATACAAAGGAATGGAAAAATAAGAACTTCTATGGAAAGAGATGAATTGATGCCCTTGCTTCTAAACGTTATAACATGCAAGAGTTATAATCACCAAATTCAAAAGTTATATAACTCTTCTTGTGATATTTTTGGAACTTAAAGGACATATTTGATAATTTAGAAACTTTTATTTTTATATTTACACTTCAACCTAAATCTATATGCATCCTAGTTATTGGCTCAATGCACTCCAAGAAAGGGGTGAATTGGAGTTTCAAAATTTTTTTCTTCTTTTGCAACCATGAAGCAAAAATCAAAGAGAATAGAGAAGAAAAGCTTGCACAAAGATTTTATAAAGATTCAGTCCAACCACTTGGTACTTAATCCTTTGTCTTGGCTTCACTCATGAAGAATTTCCTCTGCACTCTCCACTAACAAGAACAAGGGTGGTTTAAAAGAGCCACTCAATCCTTTTATAAGAAGGTAGGTTTTCTCCCAAATCTCACCCCTTTACAAGACAACCGAACAATCCTCATTACAAATCACTCTTGAAAGAATAATCACACCCCTAAGATGACTCTCAAAGAAAACGAGTAGAGAATTACAAGTGAAGATCACTCAATGATAAAAAATTACAAGTTAAAGCACAAGAACACAAACTGGTAGATGAGAAATATACAATGAAAAATGTTTCAAACTTCTTTCAAGACTTTTATCAATCATATTTATACAACTAGATCGAAAATAGCCATTCCTAGCAATTGGGGTGCATTTAATGTCTTGCAAATCAATTTAAGTCCAAGAAGACACGTTGCAGACTTTATTAGTAGAGTCGGCTATACCTTCAAAGGCGGCTATGCAGAGCTAGCTATCACAGCCAGAACTGGTTATCAAGCTTTATCTGCACTCTATTTTTCTGTTGAGGTAGCAGCAAAATACAAAGCTAGCTTAAGAAACGTAACTTCAAAAGATTAAAAAATCTTTGAAGAATTTGACCGTTGAGTATTAAATGCGCCATCATAACCGATTGTAAAGTCATAGTAGACTTTGCATCCATTTTCCACATGTGTCACATTGCAGGTTTGAACTTTTCACTCGTAGAGCCAACAGCAACTTTCATAGCTAGCTTTCTACATTTTTCTTCACTAGAGCTGGCTATAGAATTATAAAGCCAACTTTCTACAGTTCATCAAGGTTTCTACACTTCTCCAGAGTCGGCTGTAGAAAATCATAACCAGGTCTCTACACTAATTTCAGCATTTTGGTTCTTTTTCAATGTAGTCCAAGTTTATTCACTCTTGTCAGCTTTTATGTCATAACTACACACTTAGATAAACAAATTAGTAATTCAAGTATGTTTTGTAATCATCAATATCATAGGTATAACACTAGTGCATTATAAGGTAAAATGAAACCTCCCTATTTATGCCTTAACATGAAATGATTGTATTTTTTAAAAAATTTTCAAGTAATTCAACATATTTTTAAATGTTAAATGCATATCCTAATTAGAACAAGCAAAATCACAAGAATCAAATCAAGGAACAACCTATTAGCTAAGAAAGAAAATAGAAGATATTGGAAGGGAAAAAGAATAAGCTAAGGAAACACAAGATATCAAAGGAAAAAGGGATCTCCAACTATTACTCACAATGCACAATTTTCACATTTATATTATATATAAATTGAGTCAATTGTGGTAATAAGTTTTAGTGTTATTATGCTAGATTGATTTAAAGTTTTTAAGTTTTTTGATTATTAAGTTACCTAATGCTCTATATAAAAGTTACCTATGCACCCAATTTCATATTACAAAATAATAAAGCATTATGCTGTTCTTTTAGTTTTCTTTCTTTCTTTTCCTTGCTTTAATTTCCTACACAAACCTTAAACTTTTTGGAGAGTTGATGTCTGGAGCAAAGATAGTGGTGATATTGATAATGATGGTGGCAACACTTTTGGGAAAAATGAATGCCAAATAGGATTTTAACATAATAGTTGTTAATATATGTAGCATCCTTTTAAACATAAATCTTGTGCATTATTCTAGCCCTTCGTTGTTTCACTATAGTAAAAACAATGAATGTGCCCTCTATTATCCTTGACAAATACTCGTACTCTATAATGAGCAACCCTCATGCTGTAGAAAAAAAGCACAATGATCTCCTTCAAGCTTTAACAAAAAATAATAATAATAATAATAAACTTGAAAGTAATGATGGGAAAAGGAAAGGTGACCATTGTGGGGGCTTGTGAATGAAAGGCTTGATCCCGTTTTTGATGCTAACTCTTCAGCTTGATCCTCTAATGCTTAAGAAAATAACCCAAAAATTGAAGCTGCAGCATGTTGCCTCCTAGCCATCATGTACAAGTCTGGAAAATATTCTGCAGTGCTGCAAGTGTAGAAAATGTAATAAAAATGGTGATTTTTGGGTGTTTTTGGTGTATAATGTCACGCCCCAAAACCCAAATCCAAGGACGTGGCAGACGCTGTACACTTCTGAGAGGGTCCCACAAATGCACAAGGCTCGGAACTTTATCATACCACAATTTGATACCACAAAATCTGAAGATAAAATTTTAAAATTTACTCTGATATCATAAAATCTCCAAATAAGGTCTAGCTTGCAAGATCATGATTTATATCTAAAATCTATGTTCAATTTACAAGATGGCTAGTCTTCTAACTCGTCACACCCCTCGTTTTTCCCTGTCCTTGACTTCGTTTCTTGAAATGGTGGACAAGGAAAACTAGGTGAGATAAAATATCTCAGTAAGTAAAAATGGACAGGCCTTAATTAAACTTATAGCATGCCAACAAGTATAATCAGAAAAACGGATATAGTACAGGAATGAAATAGACGTCTCCTTTATAGGTCATGGCCAGTGTTATAAACCTCCTACTGGCAGGCACATGATTTACTAGTGTATAATCCCATTAGCAGGATAATAGTCACATAAACAAACCAGTTCTATTAATAACATCTCGACATGTGCTAGCGTTTATAAACCTCCCACTAGTGGGCACACGAATAACATGACCATATCGAAGACAAAACTAGGCAAGATTTATAGAAAAATCCATGATTCACAATCAATCTCAAATTTCAAAAGTAAACTGGAAAATTTCCATGTGGGCATGGATTTAACAAGAAAGTCATAATTCACAAATAATTTTAAGATCATCAGGGCAGTTAAGTAAACTCCAACAAGGCATGCTAAAATCAATAAAAATAATAATAATTTTATTTCAAATCGATCATACTTGTGTAAAACGGGTTTAGTCCCACCACCACTTCAAAAACAAGCTAAAATGTGCTTTAAAATCGGAGGGCGTTATCATAATTTGCTTACCTCAAATCGCATAAACCAAGGACTCAATCCAAGTGCTGGAGTGACAGAATAATCAAGAACCTAACCAAAATATTTCAGAATTAATAACCATACTACCAAACATCTCAACTTTATTCTCAATATAACTACACATTTAAACCCTCCTATTGTTGGCCATTAGTGCGTGAACAGTACCCATAAACAGTTCCATGAACAATAATCACACAGTGAACAGTGACTGTAACTTCCAAAATGGGCAAAACAATAGCTAATTTCACAAGATTTTTCTCCAGAACCTCACAGTAGCTAATTAACACTCAAAGACATTAATTCCACTTAAATTAATACTTAAATTTTGTCCTAAAGCTATCGGAATTCATCCCTTTTTCTGCAGAATTTCGGACATCACAGGACTAGCAAATTAAATGGATAATTTTAGGCTTAAAGGGCTATCACATACCAGAATTTTGCAAGCAAAACCGAAGCTGCAGTTTGGGGAAGGCCGGCGGGAAGTGCAGGGAGAAATTCGGGATCTACCCAAAAATTGGAGAAACCAAGAGAAATCAAAGTTAACCCAAGCCAATTCAAGGAAGAACAGAGGAATTAGTGGTCGTTTTCTTACCAGAAACCGGAGCAAATCACTCCCACACAGCAAAGCAGCAGATGGAAGAAACAGAGCAGAGAAGATCCGGGATTTTTCTGCAGAGGGGGGAAGATTTCCAAGCTTAAATCTGGTTCTTGAACAAGAAAGTAAGGAAAATCATCAAGCTTTACCGGTTTGTTTTTTTCAAGGGGAGGCGTCGATGGCTTGGCTTCCTTTTTTGGGTTGCAAGGGGTCGGGGAAGAAGAAGAGCAGGATGCGCGAGCTGAGGAAGAAAGAGGAAAAGGAGAAAAAAATATCAGCTGGTCCTTAACCAAATTCCTTCTCTTTTAAGTCCATCAAATTTGAGAATTTTGGTGATTAAGCTCAACAATATTATTTTCTCACAATTTAGCACCTAACTAAACGCTAAAATATCAAAAAATTTGGGATATTACATATAAGGTGAGAGGTTGAAGATGAAGGATTTTTTAGAGGAAAAAGGGAAGTCTAGTACGTGAGAAAGGAAGTTGGGTGTCTATTCTGTTCTGTTGAAAAATGAAGGAAAAATAATATATATGTGCAATGGCATTTTTGTAATTTCTAGGTTGATGGGTCAGAGGTGCACAGTGGCCCAATGGGTAGATTTGGGTGAGCTGTAGAGTTTTGAGTGGCTTTAGGCATTGCTGACAGCTTTTTGCCAGTGATATTATGAATTACCAGTGGTTCTAGTGAAGCTTCACTGGCTCCAGTGAAGAACTACTAATCTGTTGAAGACTACTCATTTTTGGTAACTCTCCAGCCATATGAAATTCCATTTTTTGGGGGGATAATTGAGTGCAGTCGACAAAATCAGGTCTGTCCAAGATTTTAGAAGATCCCCCAAGCAAAATGCAATATTTTTCAACAATTTCCGATGCCAAGGAACTTGTGCAGCCACTTTTTCAGTAGTTTTTAGTACTGTGCAACCACCTTTGCATTAAATATAGCTGCAACTCACTGATGGTGACCAAAACAACATCTCTAGTTGGTTTTGACTGAGATTCCAAGCTTCTAGTTAGCATCAAATAATACGGTTTTGTGACCAAACTCAGCCTCCACGTCTTCGCCACCTAGCCCTTTCTAGCGAAGTCAAGTGACATTGCTAGCGCCAAGCTTCGTTGGCATGAATACCTCGCTTTGCCAAATGGGCAACATCCATCCATCCATGCCTACCAAGCCACTACTCCCATAGTTTATCCCGAATAATTCCCATGAGCTTGGATTCATGGGTTTATTGATGACTTGCATATAGAAGTAGTGATTGTTTGATGAAAATGATGAGATTTAATAAATAAGGAAGTAATAAAGGAAAGAGACTTCCTTATGTATTTCTGGTGGTGTAGCCATGTACTGCAGCAATAGATATCATAGGCCCTAGCCATGTATTACAGCAAGATATTGTTAGGCCTTTTGGTAAATGCACGTTGAAGACATTAATGGGCACTTAGATCAAGGCGGGTCTTGGTGATGTGGAAACTATCCAAGTCCAAGTTTGACCTTTTACAAAAGCATCCATCAACATTAGGCCCCCAAGTGGGGAGAGTTGTAACAACAAGTCTTCACGCTTGCAGTTAATGGAGTTGAATATGCCCAAACTTTGTCAAATAATAGATGAGTTTGATGTTGTCTAGCAATATCTTTATGATGTGACAAGTTGAAGAAATGTGGCCATGTCTTGCCAAACTTGGAAGATTGACTTCGTTAAAGAATAGGCCCATCCTTATGTTGCATACATAATGATGATAATAATAGAAAGAGTGATTGCCATAATGCTTTCCCTTAGCAGCGTGGTTGAGCTTGTAAAGAATTTTCCTTCATTGGGGATGAAAGCATCGAGCACTGTTTGTAGCCATGTTGCTATAGATAAATCACATGTTTTATGTCTTCATGGTTGGAAAATACTGGTTGTTCTGCATGAGCTTCATCATAAAAATGAATGAGAAGCTTGACATAGAAATACTTGTCAACCCAATTTTGGGGAAGATAGCATTTTGATGAAAATTAAGCAAATAGTTGAAGTTGTAGTGTTGGAGATAAACATCCATCAACTTCACTGGAAAGTAATACTGGCAATATAATTCTTCAACCAAGTGAATTTTTTTTTTTCGGTCTCCCATGTATGTGCTCATCAAGCAAGTATTTGTAATTCTTCATCTTTTCTTGTGACTTGACATTAAGAAGTTGTTTGGTGAAGATAAATGACTTAAAGAGTGATGGAGACATAGCAATAAGCTGCAAGCTGTTGAATGTGTAGCAAATTGCTCCATCCAAGCGAAATATGATGATGTGAAGTAGAGCAATAATCCTTCATCCAAGGAATGTGACAACTAGCAATGATGGATAACTTGTTCAGGGGATAGAGTAAAGATGAAGACTCTCCATAGCCTTGTTATAGTTGTAGGTCAAGACCAACAAGCTTCGCTAAGCCTTCCTTTTGCCAGAGATGATAAAATGATGATAAAAAATGAAATGAGCACACATATGTTGACATACTCATAATGGACCCAATATGTTGAAGAAGACTTCCTTTCCAAGATAGAGTATTCTAGCAAAGATGGATCTTCTAATCGAGATAGAGTATTCCCGCAAAGATGGACCTTCTATCCAAGTGATGTAGTAAATAAGTCATAGTAGATGAAATCTATCGATGTGAGCCTTCTAGGCCTTGATAATATTTCTTCTCCATGATAGACTATTGAAGATGTATCAATATGTAATTGTGTGTTTATGACTGCTGGCCATGTTGAATATCACTTAGTTGGCCAAAGAGCTTTGCTGACCTCATGCATCAAAGGAGAAGATGTTAGTATACATTGTTGTCTCTTTGTCCATTTGTCATGGGAAGCACTTGTATAACATTTGTAATATCTCAAATTTTCGAGAATTTTATCATTTAGTTAGGGGCTTAATTGTGAGGAAATAATATTGTTGGGCCTAATAGTGAATATTCAAAACTTGAGGGATTTAAAAGAGTAAAAATTAGGATAAAAAGGGGTAAGGCTGTTAATTTTTCCTCAGCCACACGGGTTATCTTCTTCCTCGTTGCAGCCACCCGAAAGAAGAAAAAAAAAAAGAACCAAGCTGCCGGCAACAATTTTCTTGAGGAAACCGGTAGAAAGCTTGAAATTTCTCCTTCTTTCTTGTTCAATCACAAGATTTGGGGCTTAGAACTCTCTCTAAACCCAGAAATTTCCAGATTTGTTTTGCTCTGCGTCTTCCTTCCTTTGCTGTCCGCGACTTGTTGGTGGGTGGGTGGCGAATTTTCAGGTTTTTTGGTAAGAAGCAACACGAAATTCCTCTTTTCTTCCTTGAATTGGCTTGGGTTTACCTTAATTTCTCTTGGTTTCTCCAATTTCTGGTAGATTCCCCTTGAATTTTTCCTTCCATGCCGTCGGCCTCCCCCAAACTGCAGCTTCGGTTTTGCTGGATTTCTGGTATGTTGACAGCCCCTTTGAGCCTAAAATTATCCTTTAATTGCTAAATTTTATCCATTTATTTGCTGCCATTTGTGTCCGAATTTTCTGCTGGAAATAGGGGAGAAATTTGACAGTAATTAGACCATGATTTAGCTTAATTCATGTAGAAAATTAGTTTATTTTGGCTGTTGTGATTTTTGAAGAAAATCCCGTGAAATTAGCTATTGTTTGGCCCATTTTTGGAAGTTGCCGTACTGTTCATTGCGTGATTATTGTTCACGGATACTGTTCACTGGTGCTGTTCATGAGTACTGTTTACGCACTAATGGCCAATAATTAATGGGGATTAAATGTTCAGTTTGTGATATAAGAACAAATTTGGAGATGTCCAGTCATAGGGTGACTAATAGAAATAGCATCGTGATTAGGGGTGATCCTAATGAAGTTTTCGCTTTGAATTTGTGATAGTATGGTATTAATTCTGGGGTATTTTGATTAGGTTCTTGAGTGTTCTGTCACCCGAGTACTTGGCTTGAGTTCCGGATTTGAGGTAAGTAAATTTATGGTAATGCCCGTACAGTTTTTAAAAGCATGTTTTGACTTGTTTTTGAAGTAGTGGCGGGACTAAACCCGTTTTATACAAAAGTAAGTATGATTGATTTGAAGTGAAATTTTTATGCTTTTCATTAAATTGAGCATGCCTACTTGAAATTTAATTGATTGTCCTGATGATCTGAAAGTGATTGGTGAATTATGGTTTTTCTGTTAACTTCTGCCTGTTTTGTCTCCGATGTGGTCACGTTATTAGTGATCCTGCTAGTGGGGGTTATAAACGCTAGCACATATCGACATGTTATTGATAAAACCAGTCCGTTTGAGTGACCCTGCTAGTGGGGGTTATACACCAGCAAATAGTGTAGCCTGCTAGTGGGAGGTTTATAACACTGGCCATGACCTATAGAGGAGACGTCTATTTCATTTTCGTACTGTATCCGTTTTTTGTGCTTACACTTGTTGGCATGTTATAAGTTTAATAAGGGGCACTCCATATTTTGCTTACTGAGTTTATTTCATAGTTTTTCCTTGTCCACCATTTCAGGAAGCGAAACCGAGGACGGGGAAACCATGGGAAGTGACGAGTTAGAAGGCTAGCCATTTCGAGATTGATATAGATTTTAGAAATAAATCATGCTTTTGTAAGATATATTTTACCTTGAATTTATGAGATCAAAACAGATTTCGGTCATTAGATCAATTACTTGGATTTAAGTCATTTTGGTTATAAAAATAAATTGAGATGTTTGATTTAAGTTATTGGATTGTTAAATGTGAATTGGATAAGTTCTGAGCCTTGTGCATTTGTGGGACCCTCTCACGAGTGCACGGCGTTTGCCACGTCCCCGAATTTGGGTTTTGGGGCGTGACAACATTGCTGTGTATGTCTAGCGTTGTACCAAAATAAAAAATGAGTAATATGGACATGTGCTACGATATCGTTGTCTTGAGCCAAGGATTGTTGGTCAGCAATACCTACTAACACGTAAACACGTAAAATATAGAAGAGATATGTTATGGATCGAGATTATCGGCGATCGTAATTTTGTCCCTTTGTATAAAAGAATAATGAAGTGCATGATCACTGACCATGTTGTATAAGTATTGTAGGGTCATCCATGAGTAGCCTTCCTATAGCTAGAGTGACAATAGTGGCTAGCTTTGTCCATGGTTGGAGCACGAACTATA